GCCGAGATCGGCGGGGAGAACACCGCGACTTTGATGAGATGCAGTGGTCTGATTAAGCGGATGGCTTGCTTGGCTTGGTAATAGCCCTCATTTGAAGGCTGGGTGAGTAAAGCAGATGGAAAAGCGGTTGAGGGCGGGGAAGGCCTCGTCTGTGGAGCACTGAGGAACTCTTCAGGTTTCAGTCTAAACTTCACGGAGACTGAACGCAGGCTCCAACCCATGCCCAGGACCATGGATAGCTCCCTGGAAGGGCAGGTCGAATCTTGGCATGGATACGCAGTTGCAGTGGGCTCGTCTTGCCAGGGGAAACGGGGCCGAAGAACAATTCTAGGGAAGAAGGAATGTTCTGGTCATATTGAGCCCAGAGTCAGAACGTCCTTCGATGCGCTGCAAATATCCTGGACATTTTACTCTCCCTGTCCTGCAGGCGTGTGCAGCTTCGGGTCGTGCAGTGTCTCAGTCCAGTGTCTGAAGATCTTCCTCTGGCCCTGCTTGTTTTTCCGACTGCCAGTTTGACCCTCATTTTTGTACGATTAGCATTTATACGCTGCTTTCTCCACTAAAAAGGCATCAGGGTGGTATGCAGCCATCTGAAACAGTAAAAAGAGTTTTCAGAAGACACAAAGAAGAAAACACTGTATTCCAACAGAAAGCAATAGAAACCAAGGAACAGTGTTGGAGTTTGCCCGATCTCCAGTGGCAGGGAGTTCCAGAAATGGGGCCACAACTCAGAAGGCGCTTCACCAGGTCAACTTGGTTGGGGCCAAGGGTCCATGTGGAATTACCAGGCGTATGTTGTTCAATGTTCCCAGTCAGTAGACACTCCTAAATCTTAGCTGGTAGCAGGGAGAACTTTAAAATAATTGGTAGTTTGAACATGCCTCTTTCTGTTCACACTTGGAAAGCGATGCTGGAGAGCTGCTCTGAAATTGAATTCAGCCCTCAGGCTAAAAACCCCCCAACAATCTTGCTCTTGTTCCACCAGGGCTTGTGGAAAACCCATGGAAGTAACAGGAGAAAACCTGGCAGAAAAGACAAGAGATGAATTTGTGGATTGAGGGGAAGGAAAAGACCTGTTTGGGGGTAATCTTTCTTTCTTTCTTTCTTTCTTTCTTTCTTTCTTTCTTTCTTTCTTTCATCGCATTTATATACCATCCCAATAGCCCAGAGGGCTCTGTGGGTGGTTTACAAACATTAAAACCCCACCAAAATAAATAAATCGGCTACACCACAGCTGAGTATAAAATAACATGGTTAAAATGAATTAAATACATAAATATACCATTAAACTTAATTAACTTTAAAATATTGCTTAAATAAAAAGGTCTTGACCTGGCGCCAAAAAACATATGATGATGGCACCAGGCAGACCTCTCTGGGGAGTGCATTCCATAGTCTCAACAGGGCAGCCCAGTTTCTCTTCCAAAGGGGTGTGTGTGTGTGTGTGTGTGTGTGTGTGTGGGTACGGGTGGAGGGGGGTGGAGACAAGTCCTGCTCATTCCAGCACCCTTCTCGCATTCCTGGATTAGAGCATCTGTCAGAAAGAGGGCTTCCCCCGCTCATACTCTCCCTTGCAAAAGAGTAAAAAATCCATGGCCTTCTTCACAGAGCATGGTACAACAGTCAAGTTCTTTGTGGAAATTATGGAGAGGCAGCGTGGTGTAGTGGTTAAGAGCGTGGGACTGGGACTCAGGCGATCCGGGTTCGAGTCCCCGCTCAGCCGTGGAGCCCACTGGGTGACTCTGGGCCAGTCACAGACTCTCAGCCCAGCCTACCTCACAGGGCTGTTGTTGTGGGGATAAAACGGAGGAGGAGAATGATGTAAGCTGCCTTGAGCCCTTTGTGGGCAAAAGGCAGGATATAAAATTGATAAATAAATAAATAAATCTTCTCTCCCCATGCTCCCTGGTCCTCAAGGGGGAGGAACAGTTTGAAAAAAGATGTGTGGGGCCCCATTTCAACTCATGGTGGTCCGCAGGTGTGTGGGGCTGCGCTTCCTTGCATGAGTCAAATTGCCTGAATCTTGATGCACATTCCAGCAAACGTGGAAGAAATGCAGTCACAATTTCCTGGAGAAGATCGGTCTATTGCTTCCAAAGTTCAGGGTGAAGCTAAGATTGGAAACATGAAAACAAAAACGGGCAGATTCATCTCTCCTTAACAAGAGGCAGTCTTGGTTTTAGACTGCTGGAACTGTAAATATGACGTACCGTTTATGATCGATCTCTCTGAAGATTCCCTTGTTTCATGATATCAAGGGAAAGCTCAGTTGGATAATGGTTTTAATATTTTGAAAGAAATTAATGTGTTAGTCGGGCACTGCAGAGCAAGTCAAAAACTAGGTGACAAGTCAAGAAGCAGGGTGGAAGATGGGAAGATGGAAATAGGAATGTATTCGGATTTTGTTTGGGTTTGCTTTTACATCTTATTTGTCTTGTTTGCAACCGCAATATGAAAGCAAAGTGGTGCATAGTTTCCCCACTTACATACCCTAAACTTGTATTTACAGTAAAAAAAAGTGCATTCAATTTTAAATGCACAATTTCACATTTTTAGAATGCACATTTTTTAAAAAAAGAAACAGGTTTTAAAGTGCACGTTTTGTTTTGCATGTTAATGCGTGCTGTCAGTGTTCGATATGGACTTTTTTAAAGGTGCAGACATGTTCTTCTTTTAGGTTTGGGGAAAACTCGTGCCTAGGAACAAATTGAACTGAGTTTGGAGCTGCAAATAGGAGAGTTGTAATGAATTTGCTGATTCCTTCATCTCTTGGGCCAAAAGACAATCAAGAATACACCAGAAGGGACTCACCCGAGGTTGGCTGGTTTGTTATTTAAAGCTTTTATAGACAGTCCCATTAGTAGCATCTCGGGATGGTTTACAACAAGCACCGATAAAAAATAGCAGTTCAGACCAAATGTCTAGTAGTCCAGCATCCAGTGTCAAAGGTACCCAAACTGGCAAAATTTTGCTCGCCGAATTTCTCCCAATTCCATCTCCAAACTTCTAAAATGACCGTGCATCAGATTTTGAGCTTACATTTCCCTTTTTGCCTTTGGCCTGAAAGTCTGATTCTTTCCACACACGTTTTCTTTTCCAGATCTATGCTTCAGCTGTTTGCATTTTCAAAATGTACACATTCTGAAAGCACGTTTGCACGCATCTTTAAATGGACCATACGAAATCTGTGCGTTCCTGACACAGGGCGTCTCCTGAAGTGGGTGCATTTCTGAAAAGCATTTTTACCTCCTGGTGAACACACGTCTGTGCACATTTCAGAAGTGTGTGCCAAAGGCATCTTCTTTTGGTCCATGAAACTCAAAAATGTACCGACTTTGGCTGTGGATTATGTCCCTGTGGCCAACCCAAAGTCTCTGGAAGCCCACAAGCAAGACCTCAACAGGACCCTTCTACCCATGTTCCCCAGCAATGGGTTGACAGGCACCCGAGCACCTGGTACTGGGTGATGTACAGCTGTCCGTGACTCAGAATAACGGGTTTTGCCTGATCTTCTTTTAAAGCCGTCCGAGCTGTCAGCCCTCACTCCATCTCGCGCCATGGCAAAGACCTGCCGTCCTCCGCATCCAGAGGAAGTCCCATAAATGGGGGCCTCATTCTGAGAGCTGCTCAGCACTTCCCCTGTCCCTCGCTTGGGATTGTTTTCACATCTAATTTGCCTTGTTTCCAGCCCCAAATGTGAATGCGAGGAGGTGCATAATCTTCCTGGAAAATCTTGCAAGCCCCAGACTTGAATTTACAGTAAAAATTGTGCCTTCGGCTTGAAGTGCAGGTTTTTACATCAAATTTTCTGTCCCTCTGCTTTGCCTTCTCAGGCCTTTTCGGCACAGCGTGGCTTTTGCTTTTCCACATTCCGTTGGCGAACCTGCCACTCATCTTCAAAGGCAGTCGTCCCCGAGCTCCGACTTACCTCCCATCTCTGCTTGCTGCGTATTCTCCTCCTCCGCCACCTTTGCATTCGTTGGGCTTGTTGTCACTCGCAAAGGGGGCACATTGCATCCCCTGCCCCACATCCTGGTGCTTCTGTGTTTCTCCCAGTGCTCCTCGGCTGGGGGCTTTTGAAGGCAGCCGATCGCTGTTCAGTGAAGTCTCTCTCTCGCAAAGCAGCAAAACCCCTAAGGGTGCTGCGACCCCCGAACTCGGCGGGTTGTAGTTCGGATCGCCTCTGTGCTCGTCTCCCCTTCTGAAATATTTAGATGGCCCATTTCAGCTGGCCTCATGTTTTCCCCCTCCTTATGTGGAGGAGAGGCTGAGGTGTCCCAGGGTTCCTTCCCTCCTGCCTCCCTGCCCACCCACCTCTCTGGCTCTGAAGATGCTCTTCCATCTTTCAATCCCAGCCAGCATGGAAAGAGTCCAGCCAGCCCATGCTGCTCTCCCAGCTCCTGATGTTCTCAGCCGTCCTCTCTCTCCTGGCTCTTGATGTTCCCTCCCAGCGCATCATATATTCCATCATGTGGATCGCATTATGAGGGGTGGCCAAATGGTGCTACCCCAGGCACACAACGCTTTCGGGTCCTCCAGGAGCCTCGATCAGCTTCGACATTAAACATAACGGAAAGGGGGAAGGCCTGGCAGGTGCTGGCTGGGTGCTGACTCACCGCCTTGAGAGGGGAGGATGAGGAGATGGAAGACTTCACCGGGCTGTGCTCTGCCGGGAGCTTAAAAACAGGATAAATACAATTTGAATAAATAGACCCAGTTTAAGTTTCGGGTTGTTGGAGCAAAGAATGGCTGGTTCCCTCATGTGCTATTTCATAATATCCCCGACGAAGTGTTAGTAGCTCCGTCTCTTGATCTTTTTAAACGACTAGTGTCTAACATTGTTCTGCACTTCTTAAAAATTGTGCATTGTTTGGTTGCGGTTGGCTGCTTGCACTGAATTTTCCTTTTTAGCATAAATCACGTTATTATTTTAACAGGAGAGTCAGCTGTGCATGAGAATACGAAAGAAAGGCAGAGGGGCTGCCTTTTCTGGCGATGGAGGAGGAGGCTGTCCATGGCTACTGGCCTTAATGGCTAAGCTCCTGTATCCGAAACTGCCTGCTTGGGGGAGCGCGTGAAAAACTGCTATCGCTTGTGGCCCCAAGACAGAGCTACGAAGGTCTTCCCACCCTGGGGTCCATCCCACCTTTCCTGAAGAAGCCGCATCCTTACCGGGCCCGTCTCTGGCCTGAAGACAGAGATGGTGAGAGTTTTATTTGGTGTCGAGACCGCTTTTTCCTCTGCCCTCCCCATCTGTTTTTCCTTGGATGCCCTTCTTTGTTTATGGAAGCCTGCAAGCATGGACTCCCTTCTTTATTATTTATTTATGCATGCATTTATAGGCTGCCTATAACTTCCTAGGCAGCTGTATAGATTGCAAACCACCCCAGGATGCACCTTCACCAGCATTCTGTTTCCAGCAGAGGACAGCTAAATGCCCCCTGGAAAATCACAAGCACAGCTGGTTTGTGTATATTGTGGTAGCATTCCCAGCCATATTTATCTTTAATTCCAGCATCAGTTTTGGTTGCATATCCATGTACCCTTTCTGGCTCCAAGATCTCCTTTTCCGGGATGGGATGACCAGAATTGGGTTGAAGCTCCAGGGAGGTGCATGTGAAAGATGCCACTGCATTTCCTTCCTGCAGAATTCTGGTCTCGATTGTCATGCACGCTTCTTCGAGAAAGAGCAGGCTTCCCCTTCCCCGAGCTGCAACCCCTCCCATCCCAGCCGAAGGAAGGGGGACATCACTTTTCCCTGTTCCCTCTTCAGACTTTCTCTCTCTGCCATCTTCCGGATGAAAGAAAAACCCATCCAAGGGGAGGCGAGCTTTGAAGTGCCTCTCCCGAGGCTTCTGCCGGAGCAGCGATTCCGCCCTCTCTCTCCGCAGCAAAGCCTTCTGCCACGGTTGTCTGGAATCGCGCTCCAGATGAACGGCGGCACGGGAGCGGAGTCAAACGCCGGGCTCCCCCAGGAAAGCGTGTTCTGCCAGCCTCTTTCCCCTCCTTCTGCTGGAACGATCACTAAGGAGTCATGCAGGAAAAGACACAACAGTGAAAGATCTTAGCCGAAACAGAGCAGGGAGGGAAGGCAAGAAAGAGATGTGCACCGAGGGGAAGCTGGCTCAGGCGCCTTATTTCCTAGCAGGAGAGCTTCGTGAATGAGTCGTTTTCGAGGGGAGCCACACAACTCCCCCTGCAAGGAGAACCTCAGTGTGGGGAGCTTTTGTTCGGCACCACAGCCAGCCGACCCTGTTCCTGGGGACTCCGTTGCGTCCCCTCCCCAATTTTCTGGGCCCCCTTAGCAGAAATTCAGCCCTGGTGAGCGAACATGGTTTGCTCTCATCAGGCAATCCCCTCTTCCTCTTCCTCTTCCTCCCCCCCCCCCAACACACACACACATTTCTTGCTCTCTTTCTTCCTGCTACACATTTTCTCTCCCTCCTTTCTGCCACCTCTTCTCTCGGCTCCTGCCAACCTCTTTGTCTCTCTTTCTGCCACTACCTTCTCTCTTTCTCTGCTACTTCTTTTCCGTCTCTCTTTTTGCCACCCGATTTCTCATTCTCTTTTTCCACCCGCATTCCCAGCGGCTGGGTCTCTCTCTCAGCCCAGGAGCCAAATTCTAGTTCAGAGATGCTCTGCAGAGGTGGCTCATGTGTAGGGGCATCTGAGCTTAATTCTCTTTCCACCATTCATTAAGACTCTGGAGAGGAAATGCCCTGTTTTGGACGGGCAAAGCTGAACTATTTGTGTCAGAGAAAAGGGCGGAGCCAAGGGAAAGGGCGGAGCCAACTGGAGGCGGGCTCGGGTTGGATCTGGCCCCCCAGGAGTGGGGATACCGCTCCCGCCTTCGGCACACCAACAGTGCTATCCGCCACAGCAGCTGCAGCTCATTAAGCCAGCCTACCTAACAGGGGTGTTGTGAAAGCTGCGAGGGCAACACAGCTGAGCGGTGCTGAGGAAGTGGCCAAGATGGTCAGGATACAAGAAACGTTTCCGAAGGGATCCGCTGAGCATCACCTGCTTAGGCCCAGCCCATCAGGACCAAAACCCCTGCTTGACGAGCATCCGTGCCGACCCTGGCACCGTGCCAGACCCCCATCGCGGGGTAACTCCTGGGAGAGGAGCCTGGCCTCCGCCCCTCTAGCTGGTTTTCCTTCCCCCAGGGAGGCCCGGGCCGGCACCCCGCCCTGCCTGGCAACGAGACTTCTGTAATCCTCCGCATCTCCAATTAAGTGGCCGGCCCAGCCTGTAAAAGCCGAGATGGAAAATTATTGATCGGATATGGCTGAAGCCACGCCAAGTCCTCCCACTGCGGATCTGCCTCCTCCTTTGCAGCATCCGTTCCTTGCATCCCTGGGAGGGGCCGTCCAAACAACCCGGGAGGCCTGCGAGCCCCGTAGCCCCCGAAAACATGCCCTGCTCCGAGCTGTCTTGGGGGCACCCTTGGAAGGGTGGCAGACCGGCTGCCCTTCCCCTTCCTGGCTCCCCCTTGGGGCTCAGGGTGCGAGAAAACCCTCTGGAGAACACTGGGCCTCCTCCTTCCTCTTCACAGGCGCTCCTCTTAAGCGTTAATGTATTTGACATATTTTTATGCCGCCTCTCGGCTCCCAAGGCCCCTGGGGAAGCTAGCGCAGAATCCATTCCGCCTCTGTGGGTTTGCAATCCAAAGAGACACGACATACGAGGAAAAAGGTTTGGGGAGGGCAGAGGGGGAAATGACTGTCTGGCAGGGGTGAAGGAACGGGCTTCTCTCCATCCCAGTTTGGTCAGTCTGATGGAGTGGCTGCTGGCGGTGGCCACTGCAGGGCTGGACGCCCTCTTCCCTCTTCCCCATGAGCTTCATAAATTCTCCTCTTCCTGTCTGTGTAGAACGACTTTAACTCCACTTTTGGAGGATGGAGAAGGCGCTGCTCCAGCCTGGCCACCGGTATTGCTTCCTCCTCAGCTCTTACCTGATGGAATCAACCAATTCATCCTACAGATACGTTCCCTCTTCTCATGTGCTGGCACAGACTTCTGTCCGCTCGCAGGTGAGTCAGCACACAGATTTCCACCTTTGTGGAAATTGTTTGTAACCGTTTTGTCTTTTAATCTAAATATAGGTTGAGGAATGGAGCAAATTGCATAGGCCAAAGTTTGGCCCTACCTCAAAGATGAGCAAACGTGAACTTTTGCTCGATTCCATGTGGCTGAATTGGCGGGACCAACCCCATTGTTCAAAAAATGAAATCAAAGCCACCCACTGTCTAATTATAAATGCAGTAGCCAGAATCTGTTGAAACAAATATATTACTGAAAGAGATCAGATATTATATGCATCATATTGGTGGGAAGAAGGCAGGGGAAGAGATTTGAAAAGCACGACCCCATTTGTACAAATCACTGGAGCTGAAAAATAATAACGGAAAACAGTAGTTTAAAAATTGTGTCTATTTGATGTGCTCAAATCATGCAACCCTGTGGAAAACTTCAGCACCGACGCTGAAATAGACGAAATTGGCAATGACAAGTTCTTTTCAAGGAAGGGAATAGGGTGAGCTAAGGAAGAAGCCGTGGGAAGAACAAGACAAGGACATTTGCCAAGGGGAAGTGCGGTCCCCAGGGGTATTTAATGGACCTGTGAATGTGGTAAAATATGGAAACCAGTGTGAACCCATTTACAAAAATTGAAAGACCCAGACTTGGGTTTTTTTTTTTTTTTTTTTTTTTTTTGCAAATCACCCCATGTTTGTAGGTGTTGCAAGCTAGGCTTTGCCCTTCTGAAACAACAGATTGTTCTTCGGCAAAAGCACTTTATTCTCCAGTGCACTCCCAGTAAGCACACCTGACGAAGAATGAGTCTCTGAGCATGCACAGAGTGGTTTATTGACTCCATTCTGTCTGTCACCCCTCTAGTCGGTTGGTCTGTCTCTCCCAATGTTTCTTCATGGGGACAAGAGTCCGGCTTGGCTGGTTGCCGGAGTTTTTCTCTCATGCCCTCCCTGCAGTTGTAAATCCATATTATTCTCAACGTCCGTCTGAATACCTGGGAAGGGTATTCTTGAGATAACCCCTCTGCTTCTTCCATTTCGACACTAAGAATCTTAGTTTCCAGGGCCGCTCCTCATCTGATGAGTGCAAATCCACTTACCCTTGGAAAGCATGCCAAGAAAAACAGCCCCTTCATTCCCAACATTGGGATAAAAAGGAGCAATCTCTCTAGCCCGATATACCAGAAGACAAAGGTTGCCCCCTTGTCTTCCAAGAAGGACAGCCTGGCAAGGAGAAAAGCTGGATCCATCCAGCTGCTGGAGAAGTAGTGGGGTTTTGTTTCACTTCATTTTAGGGATGGGCAAAGGAGCGATGCAAGCGATCGCTGTATGCTTTGATTCCTCTTTGCAGTTGCAATCGCTGCTTGACTCTGTGCAAGCAGGAACATTTGGCAAACGTTTGAGTGGGAATCAAGCACGCCATCCGTGCAGACTTCCTAATTTGTGCGACTTTCCTGGATGGAAGCGGGTCTGGTTCAGTTTGCAGGGTAATTTGCGAAAAGGAGGATATGTAACCAAATCAAACTGAGAAATTGCGCAAGTGGATTGCAAGAACAGAATTGCGCAAATGGATCGCAGGCAGACATATGTCATGCGCAAACCTGTTTTGTGGATCCTGCTTGCACTCAAGTTTGTGGCCTTGAGCACAGCAAGCTCCTGTTGGGGGAGCACAAATGACATTCTCATCAATCCCTAGTTAGTTGATGGCCAGGATTTGTCCTTTCCATACCTCCCAATCCAAAAGCAAATCAAAGCTCAATTTGTGGTCAAAGTTTATGCATTCCTGAGCTTGTGGTTGTGCTTACACACGGTGTGCATGTGAGAGAGTGTTTGACAAATGTATTGTTGTCATGTGCCATCAAGTCGTCTCCGACTTGTGGCAGCCCTGTGAATGAAAGCCCCCCTGGAAGTCTTGTCCTTGACAGCCCTGCTCAGCTCTTGTCAACACGAGAGTGCGACTTCCTTGACGGAGTCCATCCATCTCTTATTTGGTCATCTTCTTCTGCCTTAGGTTTTCCCCAGCATGACGGTCTTCTCCAGGGACTCTCGCCTTCTCATGACATGCCTCAAGTACGACAGCCTTGCCCCCCACCTGTCTGTTACTCCAAGGTAGGTGCAAAACTCTCCTGTATTATCTTTCGATCAGCTTTCTTCACTGTCCAGTTTTTGCACCTGTACATAATGATTGGGAAGGTGAAAAATACACACAAAACATGTATACTTTACAAAAGGCATCCCGAAAGGCACTTTAATTACTGGGAGACTGTTGAAGATACATCCAACTATCTATGATGGGCCACATAAGGTCCTTCCTCGACACCTGAAGTGGTAAAAGAGAAAGTAAAGAAGACATAAGGTCCAGGCATAGATTAAAATGGACTGATCCACCCCGATCGGAAATCTGCGAGCTTCCAAATTATAATGGCACACAAAAGGATACAAACAGAAAGTAGATTTATGCTCGGTTCCAACCACTTTGCTTTTCTGGGATGCCACCCTTGAGACCTTTCCTAACTCCGAATCCAGCTCTCAAACCTAAAAGTATTCCTCGCCACCCTGATTATGGAGCTTGCAGGCATTACGAGGTTTCGTTTTTGTAGTGGCTTTCCGTGTGCATAACGGACCGATAATGGCACAGGAAGTTTGTGTGTCAGGGAGGGGATGGAGGGAAGGCAGTCTTCTCATGTTCATTCTGCCCTTAAAAGAAAAAAGAAACGGGCAGGGAAAAATTAGTGTATCCCGGCTTTTGATGGGTTTCCTTGCTCAGCTTCACGTCACATCCTTTCCTCATCCAGTGGAGACCATTCTTTCTCAATCTTTCTCCCTTGATCTGGGATAATGGGGGTGATGGATTGCTGGTGAAGGGCTGTTAGGACTGGAGTGAGCTGGTTAACTTTGGGAAAGATTGATTGGGAAAGCACTCCTGGCAGTGAGTCAGGCAAGGAGACGCGTTTTTCTCTGGAGGCCCAGCTGCATGCTTGATTGTAAGCGTGGTTGGGAACCACCTTGTGGTGTACGTCCTCATGCAAGACTTGGATTCATTGCGTCTCCTGAAATTCCATTTCAAACCCTGCATCCATCTTCCGTCGGTATCAAACGGTGATATTTGCTTATTTCCCCAAAGGTATATGGCCACTGTGTGCATCTTTGAATCGTGCTCATGAGTCTCCCGTGGATTAAAGAGCTTTTGTGTGGATTGTTCAAATGCAGACCTTTTCGTGCCCGTTTTTCAAATCTGTGCATGCTGTTGAAGGTTGGGGGTTTGGAGGGGGGGTGTCTGCAACACACCGCGAGCTCAGAAGTGTACGAGCTTTGACCAGAGATGGCTCCGAGGCTGTGCTCCATGTCGGAAAGAGCGAAATCCCGATTGAAAATGAACTGAAACGGATTTCTCAAGCACCCCTAGAATAGGCCCCATTTTGCAAAAGTTGTGTTCGGGGGCTGTGAGGGCACGTGAGGCGGATTCTTTCACCCCCATAGCTGGATACTCATCCAGAGAGCATTTCTGGCCGACAGCCTCCCAGCTGGGATGGAGGGAAAATTCGAAACCATTTCCATCCAAAGCACCTGCGTTTCACAGCCTCCCCCCTCCCTCTCCGGCTTCCCTAACTGGGCCTCCTGCCAAATTCTCCCCCCCCCCACCTCCCCCCCACAAACTCCTTGGCACCAGTTTCCAAGCAACAATATTTGAGATACGGCTATGAACACATGATGATTATTTTATTACATGTTTCTCCCGCCGCATCACAGAGAGATCCCCAGTGTGAAATCTGCCAAGTTAAAAGTTCTGGCAGTGAATGTGTCCCTGGCATGAGCAAAGAGCCGAGCAAGGCAGGGTGGGGGGCTTGTTTCTCCCCCTTTGCAGGGAAGGGGTTTCTTGGAGGCCTGGCACGCACGCCCTGGAATCTCCGGGCAGAGGAATTTTGGAGGGCTGCAGGCCGGTGGATGGCTGTCTTTGAGCAACCAGCAATCCAGCACAGCCCACCTTTCAGTCAGAGGAAGACTGCCTCTTCCACGCCTCAGATGCAGCAGGGGGCCCCCAAGTGGTGCCCCATGGATTTGTCCTTTTATGATGGTGCCCAAAGCCCTCTCTCAAATTCCCCGCTGCCATCTGCTCTTCCTCTCTCTTTTGACATGCTCTTTTCTGCCACTCCACCTCTTTCACTCTGCCACCCTCTTTCTCTTTTCAAACACCCCTTCCCTCTGCTATCATCCTTCTCTTCTTCTGCTGCCCCATCTTTTTCTCTCTGTCACCCGCTTTTCTCTCTCAGCACACCAGGGAAGGAACGAACAGCTCTTGTAGATATCGAAACTGATTGCTTGCAAAAGCCTTCTGAAATCGCTACGAGGGCCACACCCGGCCCGAGGGCCGCACGTTTCCCATCCCTGCAGGACAGTGGGGTAACTGGGGGTTGAACCAGAGGCTTCAAGGGAAAATGAGGCAGCCCTCTGAAGCCAGCCCCCTTGCAATCCATGGGGCCGGTTCACGTTGCCGTGTGCATCGCAAAGCTGCTTCGATCCACGCAGCTGCTCTGCTAGGGAGGAAAGATCATATTCTTCTTCCAGTGATGCCTTCCAGCAAAAGAGGCATCCTTTCCTCCTCCCAAAGGGGATGCCTCTTTCATCCCTTGTTCTAAAAAGACACCGCCCGATTTTAAAAACTGCATTAGAAAACATTTTTCGTACATGGTTATAGGGATGGAAAGAAATGAACTGACAAAAATCGTGACAACTGAAACATGGATGGAAAAAGACGGCATCCGTATTTCATTATAATGGGGTATAACGTTACTTACACTGAAAGCGTATCTGATCGGAATGACATATGTCTCACAGGAAAACATTTAATTTAAACCAATGGCTCATTATTTACAAATGAGATGAATGGATACCAATCATCCGTAATGTTTCTTCTGAGATGGTGCTTGCCAAAAACTGTTTTTATAAGGGACTGTATCAAAATTAAATGATTTTAAAAAATCCACGACTTGGAAATCTCCAGTTAGATTTAGTCAGCTCTACCTGTTTTGGTCACTTGAAACATTTTTAATACGTTCATCCTACCAAGTCATCTCTCCTATAGCTGACTACTTAGAAGTAAGCCCAGTTGCTTTGAATGGGACTTACTCCCTGATAAGTAACAGGGGTGCTGAACTTATTTTGGTCTGGGAGTTAAAAGGGGTGTGGCCAAAAGGCCCACATAGTTAGGCTTCTGTGTTTAAACTAAAATTAGGTAGAGCAATTCTTCAAACAGAGGTAGAGCGAGATACAGAACACAATTCTGCTTGCCTTCCAACAGAGGCCCGATGCCCACCTCCCTTTTGGACAACTTTGGAAATCCTCCAGTTTGAACACAACAACTAACTGGGCTGATGGGGACTTTTATTCCTTCTCGCTATCACACTAGATCTCTGTCGGACCCCATTCAGGTTGCAAAAAGGCAACCTGAGATATCGGCCCTTTTAGCTGTGTCAATTTTGAGGATTATCCTCCATCCAAGTATTCTCTCTCCTTCACTGCTGAGAGAATAGGCCTGTCTGGTTTATTCCTTCTAAGCCTGATTTCATGGCCTGCTTTCCCCAAGGATCCCTTTGCTCTTGAATTTTACACATGGTACCAGCGAAGGGAAAAGGGAGTGAGAGAGACACGCAGAGAGCGGTGGAGCTCACACTCACCTCCATGGGCATGCACCTTTCTTTCCTGGGACTGGGGAGAAATCCAGTCAGTTTGCAATTTAATATGGCCATCCCTACTTTCATGGTGTCTTTCTGATCGAGGGACACGCTGATGCTAAGAAAATGGGCTGGTTTGATCCCAGTGGATTTTGTGCATGGTTTTAATGCTAAGGAAACATGTGCAAGTCTTACACCAAGCCTGCTAGATCACGTCATTTTTGGATGCCGATTTGTGCAAAGCTCACAAAACGCCGTTTGCGCAAATTGCAAAAAATTGCACTAATTGTGCCGATTTCTTTGAACTGCACAGGCGGAGATCGGTCTTGGAGTCTGTGAGCTGGCTTTACGCGCATTAGAGCAAGTCAGTGCCTGTGAACCGCAAACTGGCATCTGGGGGGAAATAATGAACACCCATTGGATTTTTACTCCCCTTCCACTGGGTTGCTCACACATTCCTACTCTGCACTGAAACTCTGGCCGTTCTGCCCCTCCGCTTTCCTGTAATTTTCCCATCTCCTCCCCTGTAGATAGTCAGCAATCCATTGACACTGAAAAGGTTCATCCCTGGTTTTGTTTTGTTTTTGAGGGGGGTCTTTAAATATCCCCTTAGTTTTTATAATTCTGCAAGCTTTGAAGTTGCCCCCAGCTGGGGATCTCTCCCTCTTGTGCATGAGCAATGTCTTTGCTTATTTAAGGAATGGCACGCATCCCCTGGGCATGAGAAAGAGAGAGAATATCATGTACAGAACCAGGGCAGGTGGCTGTCTCATCCAGAAGAAAGAAAAGTGTTTCAAACTCCTAGGCAGTGACCATTAGAAACCACAGGTGTGGATGAGTTTGGTAAATCCTGTGAATTCCTCCTTGCACCCTTGTCCATCACATCCCTATTCCAGATGTACACATCAATTTCTTTTCGACTCGGAGAAATGCACATTTTTCAACAGTGGGGAATGCAAATTCCCCCAAAGCACACATCAAAAATGTCACAGCTATGCTTTCAGCTGTAGTGTGAAAAAGCACGGTCACACTACTGAGCACGTCTGAGCACGAGCACTCTTTGAAATGCCAATACAGCCAAGCGGACTCAGTCTCATAACCTGCCACCAGCAACGAATTCCTTAGTGTCCCCACTCGCCACAAAACTAGCTTGGGTTTTGCAGCAACAATCATTGGAACCCTATACATGCAGGCTATTGGGGTACTGGAATTGATGTCCATAGCTTACTGCTTCAATGGGGAAAGTGAACTAGTTTTATCAGAGCCAGAAGCAATAGGGAAAACATGAGAACTGTCAATGGATTAAAGCATTTTTAGCTGATTAATCATCTGCCTCTTAAGCGAGAAATGAATGTAATGGATTGATCAAATTTAAATCGATGTGTATTTTACCCGAGCTTTAATGCACATGATTTTTTTTCCTGTTTCTTTTTCTGT